CATTCTTAGGTCTCTGTGGATGGATGAAACTTCATTGTTTCGTTTAAGCATTGTAGGATTTCTAGGAGTCATAGATAGTGAGTCAATGAAGCTGAGAGAGAAATCCTTCAGGTCATAGATGTTTAAATGGGATTTTATTAATTATTTTTAAAAAATCTCATGAGCAAACAGCTTATTATTCATACTGAAATGAAACAGGTATAGTTCTTATCGTAACTGTTTTGTTTATGTGTAAGTATAAAACCTTTGAATGAAAAGCTTTTGAGTTTATGTAATGTGATGGTCATAATTTCTTTCTTTGGATGTGATAAATTGTCCTATCTTTCTCTCTGCCCCTCAAAGGGAAGTATTGGACAACTGTTTTCAAAACAGAAATACAGTGGAAAGTTATTTTGAGATCAAAATAGAGAAGCCCCAGTCACTTCTCAGAATAGGGCAGTAGGCTGTTTCAGGGAAAGCACTTAAAATCTCTGAACATGGTGACACAAGGCAGAGACTGGGACCAGAGATGTCACTTGAAAGGGTATGCTTCTCTGGTGGCTCCATTTGCTTTTAATTGAGTTGAAAGACTCTTTGTGAACTCCTGGTAGTCCTTCCTGCTCTTTTTTTTTCCTCTAATTTTTCTTTGGCTTCAAAATTTATTGTACAGTGTCTTTGAAGATTTCACAAGGGCCTTTTTACACGCAGGTTGTTGAAATAGCTATTCTGTTACTGAATACACCTTGATAGTCTCTTTCCTTCTTTTGTTGCCACTTTTTGCAGTCAGGTATATGACATGGGCTAGAAGTTTATTTTTCTCTCATATGATGATTTTCCTCTGATTTTATTTTGCTTATTTGATGCTTTTCTGTAATGGACACACTGTGTCGTTGTCCCACATACAACATACCGATGGGTTCTTTAAAAATAAATAATTGTAACTATGATTTGCAGGACTGTTTGCTTTTCATGGGGACTAGAATATTTAGGATTTGGTATGAATGTATTTGATGTTTTTACTCAATTGGCATGAAAATAGGCTTTTGTAATGGCTTGGAATATAAGTTAGGTAGAGCAGAGAAATGCTCCTGCTTTACCCATAATGTAAGTCTTGTGATCTTTCCTATTGGTCATATTTACTTAAGCATGTACTGGGTGAATTTTGCTTTCGATTTTACCATAGGCTTGTATCAGAATTAGGGCAATGATTTGAAATGGTCTAGTCCGTGTGGAATATTCATTTGAGTGGGCTTGTCTCACACCAAGAAAACTGGAAGTTCTGCTGTGCCATCAATATAAAAGATTGAGTGTGTCAGTGTCACCAAAGTGGCACAGCCAAATTTGAAACACTTTTGGGTCTTCATTGCCATGTCATTATCAGAATTTTGGAAGTCACAGAACAGCCCATATCAGTGCAGCAGACACTTGTGCAAACATGTTCAAAAGTAGTGATCATGTGCAACAGAAGAGTATTCTGGCTTGGCCATTAATCCTCTTCATGGCCTCTCCCCCAAATACACACTGCTTTGCCTGATTTGAAGAAATAGTGTTAAGGCATTGTATATAGAGAATGAGGTAAAACTACTTGACTGTCTGGTAGGATGTGATAATGGGGCAATGATTTTATTTAGAAATTCATTAAGTGACTAGTTTTATACAAATTAATGTTCAGGCTTCTCAGGTGTTTTATTTTTCTTAAGTTAACTTCAAATGTTTTTTATTTTGATTGAATGGACAAGTTGCATTTGTGATGAATCTTTTTTTCTTTCTTTTTCTCATTCTGAGACAGTGATTGACTTAGCACATTTTACATGAAAGTGCTTTTATTTTACATTGGCATACCACCTCGGACATAGGAAAATTTCAGTCCTAGAATTGTGGGATCTGTTCACCCCTGTAAACACAAGTTTCCACTAGACCAGAGAGGATTATGAAATGTACATGAAGGGAAGACTAGCGTGCAGGCTGTGTGTTTGAAAATGCTTTTCTTGTGCTTTCAGTGATGCTTCACGAGGTTATTCTCTATTTTGGGAGACAAAGGGCACGAGGGAAGGAATCTCATATTTATCTTAGTATAGAAAACACTTTCTTTGCAGTTATCTGGGTTTTGCCTTGTTTTCTTCTGTGTTTTCCCGCTATCAGTGGGCATGCTGCTTTAAGCCTTTTAAGATTAGCCCATGGAAGGAGACAGCATTTTTACTTCTTGAGAGAGGGAAACTGTTATATTGGTTCTCATACACCTAGGTTGTAATGTCCAACTGAGAAGTCTGCTAATAGTCAGAAAATTACTCCTTCCAACCAGTTAACTGTAGAAGTAGGGAAAGATAATATGCAAATACCGTTTTTAATACATCTGCTTTAACTGAGAGCTAGCTTTTTCTCATTTTTAACTGGTCCTAGCTTCATCGTGAAGCATAGATGTTATTAACAGGAAGAACAAACCAGCTGAGGGATGAGTAATGATTTCTGAAGAAATTACTTCCCTTGGTAGAAATAACTTCCGTCTCTGATGTGGATTTGCATTTTCACTTAGGCTGTTTAAAACTTGCCAGAATTCAGCAAAGAGGTGCTTGGGTGGTGCTTGGGTATTTTTGTGTCAGGAGCCAGTGTTTTTGTCCTAGCTTGCCTTGCAGCCTCACAAACGCACCTGTTTGGGAAAGACAATAACTTTTTTGTAATTCTCTATATTTTGTCACTTTTATACCTAGGAGCACAAGATTTTATCAAACTGACTTTCTTATAGCTAGCAAACACTGTTTTGGTAGATACTGAATCCTTTTAGGCTTTTCATCTCTTGGCTTCCATGAATCCAAGTAGATTTTGTTCAGACAGTTGAGGTAAAGAACAGTCTCCCTCAGTTTATTATTTCCTGTTGTTTTGTGTTATAGAGGGTGCCTAGCAGTGGTGCAGTATGCCTGTCTCAGGCAGCAGTGTCTCCTCACCAGAAAGTGCCAGCCTTTTCCATTTCATGAGTCTTGTGTCTCGCTAGCTTTCTTGACCCTTATGTGTGCTGTATTATGTCTTTTTACATGGAGAATAACAGGACAAAAATGTACATATTTTCTTAGCCCAGGGAGGCCTAATGCCCTATGACATTAATTTTCCTATCCTGTTCCTTATAACATCCTGCAGGCTTTGTCTTAGTCTTCCTCAATGACATGTTGCAGGTAGTTTACTGCAGGTTAATTTTCTTGCACAGAGCTTTGAGGGTGTGTTGGGGGTTAGTAAAGTCGGTGACTGACACCCTTGCAGCATCTCACAGGTGTGGAGAGGAGTCTGTTTGCTCATGCACGGACCTGTGTGTCTTTTTTGTTGAAGTAGAAGTAAATAATTAAACAGAGCTGTGTTTCTTTGCACAAGCTTTTAGAAGCAGCAGTGAGGAAAAAAAAAAGGAAACTAATGGTGTACAATTCAGAATTTTTTGCAGTTATTTCTGTGATCGTGAGCTGGCTACTTTTGTTCCAAAAAGTTAATTTAGAACTTGTCTCAAATGGGCTTGTGGATGTTCTAGAGGGCTGTGAACAATATCTCTTGACGGCATTTTCTACTAATAGTTTCTAAAACTTTGATTTATTATTTTTAATCTCAGGATTGTAGGTTTTGATGAAAAACATGTGGCACTGAATTATTTAAAAACATTTATTTTGTGCATTAGTATTGCAAAGGAAAAAGGAGGAGCTGTGAAAGGACAGTATTTGAGGTACTCGTCTTGTTTGGTTTTGGGGGGTTTTTCTTCCCCTCTAGTTACAAAAAGGTAATTTGCTCAGGACACTTTTTTCTGAGCATGCAGTTTTACAAAAACTGCCAAGGCAGGTTTTGATAGCAATTGAGACTGCTTTCTTTACTCTTCAAAATAAGGTTGTTAGTGATATCCTCTAACTTTCCAGGAAGACTTAAATCTGTTCTGTTGTTGATGAAGTAGCAGTATTATGAAAGTATCTAAAAATTCTGATTGAGGTCAAGGTTCTTTATTCAATCAGGACAGGCAGAGATGTTTGGAAAAAAAAAAAAGGGTATTCTAGATATTTGTCAAAAAGACAAGCATGTGGCAACATAATGCCTAACGAATCCTTTCCAAATATAACCGACCACAAGCTAATGAAGTATGACTTGCTGTATTGGATACAGCAGCTGGAGTGCTCATGTCTGGTTTGTCCTGATTAGAGATACTGAAAGCGAGAGATGGATCACCGAACCGGATAGTCTGTTCTGGATAGCATGGTGTGACTTTTGTGTTGAGGGATCATTTGTTGTAGTGCTAATAGCCACATTATCCTGTTGTCCTTTATCAGTATGTCTTGAAACGCTCAGGCAAATAGTTGAGACTTGACTGCTTTGGTCTCTGGCTGGTTTGCTTGTTACCAAAGTTTTGAGGATACTGCTGTGTCAGAAGTTATTCTGACAGGTCTTTAAAGAATTTTTACTACTGTTCTTCAACTGCAAGAGGAAATTTCACTCCTTCCAACTTCATTATCATTTTCTTCGGAAGAACATCTCTAGGGCTGTGAATGAGCAAGCTATAACAAAACAAAAGACATCTGTGATTTTCCTCAGCCTCCCTGGTTTCTCACGTTCCATTTCTATTGCAAAGCCCTACCTAGCCTTTCTTCATTTTGATACACATTACCCTTTTGAGCCTGCTGCCCATCAGTAAAGCGGCCAAATTGCAGCAGAAGTATTCTCATCAAGTACCTGGTAGATTTTCCCCTCTTAGTAATAGAGGGAGAGCCACTGTGTCCTTGATTATTCGAGTCTCTGAATCAATATGGGAAAATACATATTGGGGGAGGAGTTATATCTTTCTCCCATTCCCTTACACTTTGTTTAAAACCTGCCAGCCCCTCTGAGTAATTAATCAGTCATGGAAACACTGACCCTAGGTTTTGGACAGAGAAAGTATTTAATGCTTAGCTTAAAAAGTAAAAGCAAAATCCCATACCCCACCAAAGAAGGACATCTGTTTCTAACTTCAGCTTTTTATTTTTTTATCTTTCATTTTTTTTTGTTGGTAAATCTCCCAGACAACAGCAGTTCTGTAGAGAGTTTAAATATGAAGGAATGGCAGGACGGGCTAAGGGCACTTCTACCGAACATTAACATCAACTTTGGTGGACTGCCCAATGCTTCTTCCCCCTCCAACGCCAACCACAGTGTACCAACGTCCAACACTGCCACCACCGACAGCCTGAATTGGGACAGCCCTGGCAGCTGGATGGACCCCGCAATCATCACAGGTAACCGTTTCTCACTCCTTCAGCTCCACTGGCAAACCATCGAATGGGTATTTGGCACAAACTGATTTACATCTGGAAAAAAAAGAAAAAAAAAAAAAGAAAAAGTCAGTATGCGGTGGTCTCTTCCAGCTTCCATCCACAAAATCTCAAGGGTCCAGGAATTTTTGTGGAACCTTTAGATATAACAGAGCGTCACTTAGGCCTTTGCAATGCATGCCCAGGACCTTTGCAGGCAGTCAGGTGCATCAGTGCTTTCCTGTAGGGTCAATCTATAAGGTGTCCCTTGTGCTGGATGGCATGTCCGGTATGTGCGTCGCTGGTCCTGAAGGCAATCACTGGACTTGGTTATTTAAAAAGGGACGTACTCCACTTGTTTATAAAGCTCTCTTTTATAAGGCTGTCTGGTTGTGTCTCCCTGTTAGAGAGGCTGAAGCATGATTCAAGTAGGCAGAATAAAAAGTGAAGTGTGTAGTGTACTGGCAGCTTGGTGTGGTAAGGTCATGTTGACAAGGATGCAGTTCTTGAGCAGAATGTTTGATAGAAAAATGTGTGTTTTATGAAGAAGTACTCTGAGGGTGAACTTTCTCGTATCTCAATTTAATGTTAAATATTTTTGTGGGCAGGGTAATTATACATAATAATGTAAAATGCATTTTCTGTACAAACTAATCATGTTTTTTCATTATTGCTTTTTGCTAGGTTAAATTGACCTCCTTCATGGTCAACTTACTGCTTTTCCTCTGACTTGCCTGTATCCCTGTTTTTTCTTCTTTTCTTAGGTATCCCAGCCTCCACAGGAAACAGTTTAGACACTCTTCAAGATGACAATCCTCCACATTGGCTAAAATCTCTTCAGGCCCTCACAGAGGTGGACGGCCCCAGTGCAGCGCCATCACAGACGCACCACAGTAACCCCTTCGGCACACAGATCCCTCTGCACAGAGCCAGTTGGAATCCCTACTCTCCTCCTTCAAACCCCACCAGCTTCCATTCCCCACCTCCAGGCTTTCAGACAGCCTTCAGACCCCCCAGTAAAACCCCCACAGATCTACTACAGAGCTCAGCGCTGGATCGTCATTAGGAAAGGAAGAAAAAGAAAAAAAGAAAAATAAGACCCAAAACGTTAGAAATGCAGGAAGTGTCCCACCCTGACTCCTCCCCACGCCCACCTACTGTTCCCTGTCATATCTTTCTTTCTGAAGAATCCAGTTCCTGATCAAACTTCCCCCCAAATGCAATGCCATCACAGGGTCATGACCATTCTTTTTGTTAAGTTTCTGCAGAAACAGTGTTTGAAATACACTGTTTGAAATACTTTCTAACCATTCTAAGAAAAAAAAAAAAAAGAGAGAAATCAAAATGCAGTCTCAATGCTTAAGGAGAGTATTACTGTCTTACGTCTTTTGCACATGAGTATTTCTGCCTAGTGGAAAAGTGTCAATCTCCAGTAGGGGGAAAAGTGCAATGCAGAATCAAATGCAAGAACATAAAAAAGGTATTTAATTTAAATGAAGTTACTGAACATGTGGGGCAAGCAGTGGCCCAGCATTTATTTTGCATTCAGTGTGGCACTACACAGGGAAATTGCTATGTTGGGGTTGGTTGTTTTTTTGTTTTTGGTTTTTTTTTTTTGAGCAGGGGATTTTATTGCATCAGTCAGAGTTTGACATGAAGTGTGTTGAAAGACAAAACACTTGTAGCTATGAGTAACTGGCATGTTGCTAGAGTGGTTTAAAGAGGGGAGAATAAGATTTTTCTTTAATTTTGGCTTTAGATTTCAAGTAAACTTTAATGTTTTAAAAGTATTCACAGATTTAATACCTAGTGTATACGTAATATAATTATAAGCAGCTGAAACACGAGTGATATTTACTTCAGTCTTTCTGTCTCCTCTGTCAGTCTCTCTTTTTTTTTTTTTTTTTTTTTTTTAAAGATTCACCTGATTAGGGCACTCTGGGATAGCACTGCATTGGGGCCACATGATCACCATCAGGAGCAACCTCTGACCTCCTCTGCCTGCAGCTTTTACTTAACCCTGTAGTTTCTGGACGTTTGTGCAGTATTGAAAAGACAGGAAAAAAGAAACAGATAAATAAACATGGTTATAACCTGACGCTAAAACTAAAACCAAGGAAATGTACCTCTTTCTTCAGAATTAAAACTAAAATCTTAAATAAAACAGAAAACTTGATGATGACTTCATGTTTGCTTTTTGGTTTTTTTTAACCTTGGATTTTTAATTATTGCATCTGGTTAAAAAATGTACGCCATTGCATGTTTGGGGTTTTCTTCTTATTCATCTAAACCAGAACTACTTTATCATTGGAAATGCTGCTTTGTATGGTAACTTCTGTATTGAAGGGTGGAAAAAGCATAACACTTTAAATCTTTTAAAGGGATTCTGTTGTCTTTACTCATGGCAATAGCTCAAGGCAGTCAGTCTCTAACTGTTATTGGTGGTATCCTTTTAAATCTGAAGCATGGAAATCTTGTTTATATTTTCTGAATTAAATGCCATGGCCCTTGGGGTACATAGCATGCAATAATATGCCCGAACATATGACAGAGGATTTGTTCTGACTCCCTATGTTTGTCAGCAGCCTTGCATAAAGGTGTAAAATACTGTCCCTGCACAACAGGGGATGAAGAGCTCTTAATGGGCAGAAGGCCTCCAGTAAGCTTTTATACTTGCAAGCAGACATACTTAAAACCTGCAACCGTGTGGTTGGGCTGCTGATTGATGTAGCTTACAGGGGTGGCAAAGAGCCTGAAATTCTCAAGATGCCTGGTGTGAGCTGTACTGTTCAGGCCGGCAGCCTTCTGAAAATGTTGGCTGCTGGCAGGGGCAAGGAAGGGAATTTCCACTGATGAACTGTCAGCCCTAAAGTGGGATGGGGTGGGGTGAGGAGCTGGACTTTCTGGAAGTGAGGACAAATGCTGAATCAGCCACTGGACAGAGGAGCAAAGTCTTCAATCTGCACAATGAATTTCTAAATATCCTGTTACGCAAAGCAGCACTCGGTGACTGCATACTTTTGCTCTTCTCTCACGTGCATTGCCATTTTAGTGCTGTATTTATTACTCTGTATTACAGGCCCGTGTGTGCTCTTTCTGAGCTGTCAGCATTGCTGCAGATGAGTCATGTACCTTGGTTACTTGGGGGAATGTGCACACCCTTTGATGCCAGTGCTCCCCAAAAAGTAAACTATGTTTTTGTCACCCAGCCATCTCCTGTAACTGCTGGTGGTGGAAAGAGAAGTGCTGCAGGCTGGAATGGCCTCATCTATGGCAGTGCCTACTGGTGCCCCTGAGCTGGGGGTGCAGTCCAGCAGGAACTGTCTGCTGGAGGTGCTAGTGAAGATATAAATTTATGATCTTTGGTTTGGATTTTTTTGTCTCCTTCCACAGTTGCTAGGCATTTTTCCACCTTTAACATTTTGTTTTAGAAGGGTGCCCTTCCTGACCCTGAAAATTAGCAAGGCTCCCCAAGCAGCTCCAACTGTTTCTATGTACCACAGCAATTTCTGAAGCTGCCGCCTTCTTCAGTTTTTTACTTGCCCCTTTGTTGCAGTTTAGGAGGTGCTGTGGCAACCCTGTGCCCATGGGCTGCTGCCACTGGAAACCAGGCTTTAGCTGCTTGGGAGACGCTCACTCCCTGCTGCCATGCAGCAGCTGGTGTGGTTGGCCTACCAACAAACCCTTAGCCTTCAGGAAAAGCTTTGCAACTACAATGACTTCTTATGATGCTGCATTCCCAAGAAAGACTTCTTGGTGGGTAATACTGGCATTACAACAGTAAGGTGCATCAGTGATCAGACTGATATGTGCTGGGTGCAGCTGTTGTCACATTTAGCCTATTTTTGTGTACTGTCTGTTGTGGATTCTGCATCCCCTCAGTTGGGAACCAACCTGGTGTTGCACTCTGTTCAGCTGTGTGGAGCTCACCTGTTTTTTCTCCTGAAGTTTTGGGTTTATTGGTTGGGGGAAGGAAGGTGGTGTTTGTTTTGGGTGTGGATTTTTTTTTTTTTTTTAATTAATTGATGGAGTTTTCCTATGACTAGAAATTCTATACAGGAACATTTATTGAAGAGAACATCAGTGTGATGGTCTTAGTTCATGGTCTGTTGTTTCTTATATTGTATGGGTACTTGCAGCTCTTTCATGTGTTAAGCGAAGAACAGTGCTTGACTGAAAGGCTGGTGACCCAGGGCTGGCAACACATTTGGTAGATAATTTGGTGTGGAGAAGGTAAAGGATGGGCCAGATTTCTCTTCCAAAATGTGTATGAGTGTTGAAGGAAGGAAGGGAATTGTTGGCCATGGATGTGTTGGTATAAGAAACTGTGTGGCATTTTTAATGAATTTACAATTCAGGTGTATTAATTTGAGGGTGAGCAGTGCTGGATTGATAGTAAGGGTTCCTGCCCTATGGCTTCCCCCCCCCCATCTTTTTAATATCAAACAAGGGTATTATGTTTTTTCTAGATACAGCAATGAATAAAATGTCACCTTCTGGCTGAGGTGAAGAGCCAGTGCATGAATTCTTTTTCCTTTAAAAACTTTCATTGCCTAGTTGGAAATTAAGTGTCGGCAGGTAGGGGCGTTGTAAATGCAGTGTCCTGACAGACCTGTTTTAATCACAATTAAAATTAAAAAAAATTAAAAGGATAAAGAAAACCACTAAAAAGGGGGAAAAGTTAGAATGTTGAAAAAAGAAAAGTTAAAAAAGTATTAAGGAGAGCCACTTGTGACTGGCACGTGCTCAGCATGCCCCAGGTTACTGTGCAGTTCAGTTTTCCTCCTGCTGGGAAAGCTTTTGGCAGTGCCCTGGGCTCCCTGTGCCTGGCACCAGGAGTCGGTGTCAGCCGGTGCCAGGTTTGAGCCAGCTGCTGGCTTGAGCAGCAGCTGCTGGGAATGAGGGAGGCTCTGGCTCTCTGCTGAGCTGATCTCAGGTGCATTCACCCCCTGGCACCTCCTGCAGCTCCTGAATCGCTGTTGCAGTGCTGCTGCTGGGGCAGGCACTTGAGCAGTGCTGGCTGCAACCGCCTGGGTCAAGCTGGACCTTGTCCCCATTTGGGGATTTCCTGAACTCAGCTTTTGTTTTCCTTTTCCTCCATCACAGACTCTGTTGTCCAGTAGTTTTTTTTTCCCCCGAGATGCTCATATAATCATAAACATTGAAGATGTTGGATTTTAGGGAAAATGGGGGATGGTTTTGGCTTTGTGGTTTTGTTTGTTCTGTTCTAGTTTGGAGTTTTTTATAGTTTGGTAGAGTTGTCATGCTGCTGTGGAGATTTCTGGCTTTTTTTTTCTTCTGGTGGGAGAGAAATGGTCATGCATCAGTTTCCATCCTTAACGTTTGTATGGGAGTTTAGAAAAATAACAGTTGAAAAGCTTGTGATACCTGGATGCTTATTGTTCATCTCTCTCTCAAAATGTGCGGAAGTTGCCTTAGTTGCCAAGGAGCTTGGCACAGGTGTTGGCCTCTAGCACACAGAAATCCAGTGCACAGCAGGTGTTGCATTGCCAGGGGCTAATTCCCTCTGGGGAAAGCTGTTGCGCTGGGATAAAAACTCACTGCTCAGAACTGAGGGGTGTCAAGAAACGGAGGGGTGGCAGGCAGAGTGCTTGAGGGGTTGAGGGACTGGAGTTGTCACCAGCCGGCTTGAAGGGTTTGTAGGTGCTTGTAATGTCTTGAGGGGGATGACCTCTCCTCCAGTCCAGCTGGAGTTCTCAGTGTGGCCAGAGCACGTACTGTAGAGTGGTGTTTGGCATGAAGCTGTGCTTTGAGTGGTTTTGCTTTACATCTCCAGTAGTGTGTGGCTGCATGGCCAGCTGTGGGTGTGCTTTCCACTGGTGTATGGTCATCTGTTTGAGCTGAATGCAGATGCAGGAACTGTAAGAGCTTGTGCTCCTTCCTCTTTGCCCAAATCTCAGCATTTTTTTCCTTCTTTGGGATGTTCAGCTGATAGCCATGCCTAAAGATTCTTAGTTTTCCATATATTGTAGCTTTGTAGATTTGTAAGATACAGTTGTATGACTTGTAGTACTTTTCCTACCCTCACGTTTTAGAATAAGCTAAACCTTTC